AAACGCATGCTTTGAAAAACGTCTGTGAGCAGTTTGTATGAATTAGCACTCCGCCCATGCCCAGGGCCGCCCAGACCACTGGACCTCCAGACCCTCCGCCCCGGGCGCAGGCCCAGATGACCCTTTCAGCTGCTCAGAGGAGCTCTGCGATCTCTGCGAAACATGGACATGTCCCTGCGACAAGCTCAGCATCCCGTCCCCAGGCCCTGGAGACGCTCCGGCGCGAGTGCCTGTACAGCGCTGCTGGCTGCTCCCTGGGGCTGGCTTTTTGGTAATAGTAGATGAAGGCATTTCCATACGCTTTATAGACACATCCTGAGCCCGACACTCAGCTTTGCGGTGCCTAGATACTCGGGAGTGGGAAGCCTGTGGGTCCCTGCACCAGCCACCCCCTAGTTCTCACAAGTGTCTATAATTAGCTCAACCTAACGACAAAGGGAAGGCTTCCGGGGGCGCCGGAGGCCTTTGTTCTTGGGCTGCAGTGAGGACGTCCAGCACCTACCCTTCTAAGAGGCTGGAGAAGGGACCTGGCCCCAGGGCTCAGGCGCTTGCGGGGCCCCCGCACACTGCACACTGGCACCTAGAACCCCGGGCAGTCTCTGGGGAAGAGCAAGTGTCCAGGGGCCTTTCACCAAGACGGGTCTGCCCATAGGGCCAGATACAATGCCACCAGGACCCAGGGCCCTGGGGACCTGGTGGTGGCCCCGTGGGAGCCCCGAGAGGGATCTCTGGTGAGCAGTGGGCACCGGGTTCCCAGCACGTCCTGTGGAGAAGGCTCACTGGGCCGTCCGTCTCGGGCTCCTGCTCTGCCCCCCACAGCCTGGCTGCCCTCCGACCTCTGGGTGGCTCCGGAGCTCCTCCTCCTGCCCCTGGGTCACACCCCTTCGCAGACTCCCTTTTGCTCAAAAGCCCCCTCTCACCTGCTCCCAGCATCCCTGGGCCCACCAAGTGTTCTCCCCAACTTCCTGGTGCCTCCTCCAACCCTTGGCAGTGACCCTGGGCCCAACCCTGCAGGCTTCTCTGGGCCCTGGCACCCTGTCTGCCCCTCCTCTGGCCCTTCATCTCTGTCCAGGTTGAGACCAGCCCCACGCTCCCAGGCTAACATCTCCAACCTCAAATCCCACTTCTCTCTCCCTGGGGTCTCCTCCCGAGGGTTGGCCTCCCTGCCTCCTCCCTGCACAGGCCAACCTCTGCCTCTGTTCTCTGGGTTCCAGCTCCCAAATGCAGCCCCAGGCAGCCCTGCCTTTTCTGCCCATGCCTCAGGGCCCTCCCTCACCTCAGGGGCCCCCTTGAGATGCCTGCCCCCACCCCTCCAGCCTGCTCTGGGCATCACTGTGCCCCTGGGTGTCCACGACCTCCCACAGCCTCCGTCAGGCATATTGAGCTGAGGGGCCCCCCTGAGGCCTTCCCACAGAGCGCCTCCATCCTCAGCTCCCTGCACCATGCAGCTAGAGGGGAAGAGCCCCGGATGGGGTGGGCATGGGGCTCCAGTGTGGCACAGACGCAGTGAGAAGAGAGGGCTCAGCTGCTGGGGCTCCCGTGGCGATCACTTGTATTTCCTCGCAGGGCCCAGGGCAAGAGGCAGCAGGCTCAGGTCCCAGGCCTGGACTCCCGGCTGGGCTGTGCATTCTGGGCTGTGCTCCTGGATCGGGGCCCTAGACACGGGCACTGCCGCCATAGCAGCGCCTGGGGACGGGGAGGCCGTGCGGGCTGGAACCGGACCCTGCCCCCCAAGCCCAGCACAGACCTTGGGGTCCACTGTCTTCTGGGCCAGAGCCTGCCCCTTGTCACCCCTGACAGCAGATGGTCAAAAGCTGTCAGCAGGACACCCAGTGCAGCCCCTCAGTCCCCGGATGGGAGCACAGCGACCACAGCAGGCGCGTGGCCCTCCTGGCCCTGAGTAATCAGATAGTTTCAAAGGTGCCAGGCAGAGCGGGCATCACCCTGTCACCTCGGCGGGTGGAGACAGCTGTGTGTCACTCTTGGGGCCAGTGCACCGACAGCCAATGTCAGATTCACAGGGGCACCTGCAGCTTGCTGCCTGGCTAAAGCCCCAAATGTCAGTGAAAATGCAGCGAAGCCAGATGAGTACAGGGGCGCTTCAAAACTGGGCGAGCCAGGCTGAGCACAGATTCATTTCTGACCTGATTTTGGCCAAATAGGCCAAATGTGTCAAATTATCATAAATCAGGGCCTGTTTTCTGGGTTAGAAGTCCCAGAAATAGCTCCTTCCAATTGACCGCCATGGCTGGTCTTTGTGTGTGTGTGTGTGTGTTGGGGAGCTCCAACAGGCCGGCTCCTTCCCTCTGGCTCCAGGTGGGCATCCAGGGGTTGCTCCTCACTTACGGGGTGAGGGCAGCTGCCTTCCCCACCCTGGTAATCTCAGCCCACCCCAGTGGGGCCCAAGCTGTACTTGGCCAGAAGCAGTGCTGAGAGTGGGAAGCTGGGCTCAGTGCAAAGGGGCACAGGTGTTTCTGGAGCTGTGGTTACAGGACCACAGATGCCCCTAGGCTGGGGTCAGTAGGCTCCTGAGCAGTTAGGGAGGCCGGCCAGGTGCTATCACCCCCCAGCTCTGGTGCTGTGTCTGAGCTCATGCCCCCTCCCCATCACCACCATCCCTTAGGATGGGGTCCCCTCCTGTGGGGGGTCTCTGAACCCACGTTGGTCCCCATGCACCCCAGCTGCTCTCTCTTTGCTGAATACTAGTCAGTAGGGGTTTTCCACCTGAATCCAGTTTTCCCACTGGTCAGATGATGCCCAGCAGAGAGCCCCTGCTGCTCCGTCAGTACCCCAGGTGAACGGGAGCATCCAGGGTGCCCACAGGCTGCCCTGGGCTGGTTTAACTTCTCTGAACCTGACTCACTCAGGGGGCATGATACAGTCAGACCCTCACCCTTGGGGCTCAGAGCCCCCATTCCTGGCTCCCCACCAAGGCTCAGGAGTGGACTCAGCACTCCCACTTACGTGCTGCTGGACCAGCCTTAAATTGCCCCTCGGGGCGAATGGGCAACCCCAAGAGCTGAGACAGGACCCTTCTCCAAACCTGTGATACTGTGGAGCTGGGTGGCCCCAGAAGCAACGAGCCACAGTGCCGTGAGCTCCATCGAGCCCTGATGGACTGTCCAGGATAATGGGTCTGGGCCAGGTGGGGGTGCCCAGGCCCCAGACTGACCCCGCAGGCCCCTCTGCCCCAGCTCTGGGGCCACAGTCAGCCCAGAAGCTGGGTTCCTGGGACCTGAGTCCCCGGGAAAATAAATGAGAGCTAGTCCGGGTCCTGCGGAACCTTTTGGAAGAGCGAGGGGCACCCAGATCCCCCTGGCTGTGGCCTTGTCAGCATGTGGCCTCCCGCTAGGGGCTGTGACTGCCACCAGATGCTGCGGGGCAGGGTGAGCAGAGCCAGCGGCTCCACCCTCCCAAGTTCTCATGGGGGAGGTGGAGGGGCTCACACTCTCTGCACCCCAGGGGCCACACACTATACCCTGGGGACCTGGATCCTGTGGGTGCAGTGCCTGGGGGCCCTTCCATGCAGCTTCTGTTCCTGGGAGAGGTTTGCCCAGTTCCTTGCAGACCAGTGAAAACCCAGCACCCTGAATGTATAACAGGACAAGGAGTCCCGGTCACCTCTGTGCCCTGGAGAGCCACGGCCAGTGTGTGGGTCTGAAAACTGGCAGCTGAACCTGACCTGTCCCCATCCAAAGCCTCAGGTAGGTCCTGGAAAGGCACCAAGGCTGCCCCTGGTCATCCCCTGGTGGGAGGGCTCAGCAGCTGGGCAGGCATGAGGTTCTGTCCTTAAGTGCTCAGAGGGACGCAGCCAGGCAGGGGTGGCGCAAGCTCCCCAGGAGGCCGAGCAGCTGGTCTGGCCCATGTCCCACCTCCAGCACAGCATGACAGATAGTGCCTGAGTCTCACGTTTCCCCCAGGTCCTCCACAGCAGCGGGGTGACCTGGGAGGGGGTTTAGCCTGGGCAGGAGCTCAGGGGCAAAGGTGAGGCGAGGCCAGACCAGCTGGGAGAGGCCACATGGTCCCTGTGGCTCCTGTCCACAGATGCCTGGGCGGCCCTGCACTGCGTTGCCAGCAAGGCCTTGGCAGGCAATTTGTCACACCCTGTTGGCTACTCACGGCGTCTACCTTGAGATCGAGTCCATTTTTAAACATAGCTTTATTGATGTATCCTACTGTTACCTGCTTGTTTGTGACTGGCTGAATGACTTTAGCAAGGTCTGTTCTTGCCCCATGCCTTCCTCGCACACATACACACGTATGCACTCAAGCGCACATGCACACTCCGCACACACAGCGTTTAGCCCCTTTGTGCTCCTGAGGGAGGCACAGCTCAGGCAGCCCTGGTTGCCTGGATGACAGGTTTTCACAGGACTCGGCGAATCTCTCCTGCTTCCCTTAACCTCCACTGATGTTGAGGGCCTCTTTCGGCTCAAGCCTCCCCACCAGTTCCTATGGGAAGAAATGGAGCTGTTTTATGGCCTGCTTCCCCCCCTCAGACACCTCTGCCAGGGCCCTGGGGTGGGGTGGGGTTGGGGCCAGCGGCAAGCTGCTTTCCCAGGTTCGCCATTGTCTCAGCTGGGACCCAGGCCCAGCGACCGGCGGCTGGGGGTGAGGGGCAGCGCTCCAGTCCTGCTCGCCCGGGGTGAGCTGGGCGCCTTCTGGAGCACCTCATGGCGCTGGGGGCGCATTTCTCTCACCTTTGGTAATGAGTTTTCAGGTTTGCTTGAATAGGTGTTTCCTTTGGTGTTCGCCCTTACAGCTCTTTCCAGGAGCTTTTATGGTTGTTTTTAAATGATTTTCCCCAGTGCTGTCTGGGGAGGTCATGCACTCATGCCAGAAACGAGTCACCTGGTTTTTCCTTCCCAGGAACTGGGCTTCCTGCCCACACCTCTTGCCACCCTGCTGCAGCTGCGCCCTTGAGTGGGCTGGGGTCGGGTCGAGAGGAGGGGCGGCCTGGTTGTGACCCCCACCCCAACACGCGTCTCCTTTCCCCCCAGGGCGAGTGTTCCCCCAAGTGCCGCAACCTCTTCGTGCTGGAGACGGTGTGCGTGGCCTGGTTCTCCTTCGAGTTCCTGCTGCGCTCACTGCAGGCCGAGAGCAAGTGCGCCTTCCTGCGGACGCCGCTCAACATCCTGGACCTCCTGGCGCTGCTGCCCTTCTACGTGTCGCTGCTCGTGAGCCTGGCGGCGGGCGGCGCGGGCGGCCACCAGCTGCTGGAGCGCGCGGGGCTGGTGCTGCGGCTGCTGCGCGCGCTGCGCGTGCTCTACGTGATGCGCCTGGCGCGCCACTCGCTGGGGCTGCGCTCGCTCGGCCTCACCGTGCGCCGCTGCGCGCGCGAGTTCGGGCTCCTGCTGCTCTTCCTCTGCGTGGCCATGGCCCTTTTCGCGCCGCTCGTGCACCTCGCCGAGCGCGAGCTGGGCGCGCGCCGCGACTTCTCTAGCGTGCCAGCCAGCTACTGGTGGGCCGTCATCTCCATGACCACCGTGGGCTACGGCGACATGGTGCCGCGCAGCCTGCCCGGGCAGGTGGTGGCGCTCAGCAGCATCCTCAGTGGCATCCTGCTCATGGCCTTCCCCGTCACCTCCATCTTCCATACCTTCTCGCGCTCTTACTCGGAGCTCAAGGACCAGCAGCGCGCCGCCAGCCCCGAGCCGACCCTGCGCGAGGACAGCACGCGCTCCGCCACGGCCACCGAGGACAGCTCGCAGGGGCCCGACGGCGTCCCCGCGGACTCCGTGGACGGGCTGATCGCGCGCGGGGCCGCCTGACTCTCGGAGCTTTGGGAAAGAACCGCAGCCCTCCCCTCCCCTCCCCTGCCCAGAGGGGGTGGGCCCGACTTTGTGGCTCGCGAGGGCCTCGCTGCGTCGGCGGTTTGCCTGGGCCTGGCTCACGTGCACGGGCCCCACCGCGCAGCCCAGGACGCAGCCACCCAGCCAGACTCACAGGCGGGGTCAAGCGCCATCCTGCGCTGGGTGAAGCCCGTCCTAGAACCACCAGCCTGTGCTCCTTGCTTTGTATGCCCTTTGCAGTGTTGAGTGTCTAACTAGCTAAAAATAAATTCAAGAAGTCCAGAAATTACGAGCCCAGTAGCAAATGCCAGAAGGCCACACTTGTCCCCAGGCCTCTGCCACCCTTCCCTGCTCTTCAGCCAGGTGGGTCCCTGGAACAGCAGTGGGGATGGGGACAGACCCTTCCCACTCCTGCCACATCCCCCCGTGGGCCAGGAGATGGGCCTCCTCTGCACACCCAGCTCTGCAGAAACCCACTTCCCTGCCAAGGGACAGGGACAGAGGTGTGACAAGGATGCTCACAGCCCCAGATCCTTCGAGGGGTCCTAGCCCTGACCGCCCCTTCCCTGGCACTAACTCTGCAGAATCCTTAGTGGACACCTGCTCACCCCGTCTCCTCTGAACATGCCTCTGCAAAGCACAGGTCTGCTGTGTGCCTATCCATTCCCGCTGGCCTGTGGACCACATCCTCACCCTCTAGGATTCCTCCCCTCCCTCTGGGCACACCCCTGGCTCTTCAGGCCTGGAGTGGAGGCCAGGGGAGGGCCCGTGGGCAGGCACCAGCTACTGAAGCCTTGCCCTGCCTGCGGATCTCTGCTGGATACCGAGGAACTGACGTTCTGGGCCGTGCTTTGTACTCTCTCATCTTAGCTGAGATGTTGCAGCCACAAGCCCTCAGGAGGTGCCCTGCAGCCAGATGCCACCTGATGCTGGTGCCCACCCTGTCGCCATCCATCTTGGCTTTGGCAGGGCCCCTGGTCTGGGGCCAGAGCTGGGAGAGGAAGGGGGAGGTGGCACGGGGCCACTGACCGGAGCAGGGGGAGGCGGGGAGGGGCCGGAGAGGCTGGGCAGGGGGAGGCCAGGGCTGGAAAGGGAGGCGGGGAGGCTGGGGTGGGGCAGGGCTGCATCCCTAAGGCCGGTGCTGCCTCTTCTCAGCAGCTCCCGCCCGGGAGCACAGAGGCTTGGGCCAGGAAGGGGTCTCTGCAATCCCAGGGGAGTCCTGACATGCAGAGAGTGGGACCCCCTCCACGGACAGAGCTCCTGCTCATGAAGCTGGGGGTGGCCCTCCAAGTCCCGGATCTGCAGCCACACAGCACGCAGGCTGTTCTCAGGGACCAGGGCAGGGACAGAACCCAGGGCTGAATGGGCGGGACTTCCAGCGACCAGGCTCTGCAGGGGTCAGGCAGGCTGGCTGGCCCCCAACGGCTCCCATTCCCCCACCCGAGCTGCCTCCCTCGCTCCACGTCCGGTTCAGACGCCCACAGTGCACCTGGGCTCTACCTGCTGAGCCCGCCTCTCAGCGTCGGGTGCACCAGGGAGCAGGGACACTGAAGCAAGTCGGTCTCACCAGCAGTCAGGAGCCTCCCGGGGCTCAGAATGAGCTGAGCGTCCACAACCCCCAAGGAGGTGAAGCCCACCTCCCACTGGCGACCTGCAGGCAGTCTCCCCAAGGCACCCCTTCTCCTTCCGTCCTGGGTCCACGCACCCCAGGCCACGGCGTCCTGCCTGGGGCAAGGACGGGGCCATCTGCCTCATACAACACAGCTGGTGACCGCTGGGGACAGACCACTCCCTCCCATGCACTGGGCCTCGGTGACCCTCACCATGACCTCTAGAAACACAAGTCGTGCCTCCAAGGATGGTGGTCCCATCCCACTCCCACCCCAGATGCCCTCCAAGACCAGGAGAGCTGTTGGAGCACCAGAAGCCATCTAGGTCCATGGAGACATGACACACATCCCACGGAGCAAGCAGACCACCAGTCCCCGGGTTTCCTTTCCCCTCTCAGGTACCAGGGACCCCCTCCCACCCTCACTTCTGCATATGTCCTTTCCATGCCGGCCACGGCCCCTCAGGATGGGCCTTGGGCAGGCCACTGCTGGCTATGGCTTCAGTTTTCCCGTCTGGGTAGGGGGGGTCTAGGAACTCGCCAGTTCCACACTGGCCTGGTACCACACACACACGAAGTCCACGCTGAGAACTCCTGCCACGTGGCAGACTTAATGTGATTCCTGTAAGATTCCACGGAGTGACAGCAGCACCGCTACTTCCCTGTAGCCCGGGATGCTCGAGGCACAGCAGGAAACTATCCGGGGACTGGGGGAGGGGGTTGCGGGGGGAATCCGGCTGCTGTAACCAGCCCACAGGAGGTTCTGAGGGCATGTCCCGCCCTACCGGGCCGCCCACTCAGGAGGGTGGATCCGACCCGACTGGCCACAGAGCCGAGGTGGCACTGGGTCATGATCGTCCCACCCGTGCATCAGCAGAGACCCCCGGTTCTTCACAGACCATCTGTAAGCTCTCCAACCCGCGGCCCTTGTGTCTCCAGCACCCCAGCACTCCTCCTTCCCACCCCCTGCTCCTCCCCCACCCCCACCCCCTACTTCCCTCCCTGTCCCCTCTCCAGCACCAGCCCCCCAGTCTCTTCGTGACCAGATGGACCCTGGGAGGCAACAGCGGCTCCAGAGCCACGGGCAAGTGAGAGTGCCCCCTTCAGCTCCTCACTGGCTCTGCGCTTTCAGAGGCACAACGGGACGAGGTGGGCTGGGCCTCCCATCCCAGGAGCCAGAGAGTGGTCATGCCCAGTTTGCCATTTCCAAAAGGTTCTCCATGTTGGGAGGAAGAGCTATAAAAACAGAGATTTACAGCTTGGGAGAAAGTAACCGTGTGCTTTGTGATTAAAAGGCCAAACCCGTGGGGCTGTTGGGACACTGCCCCCTCCCCAGGCGGCTGTGTCCCGATCTCAGGGTCAGGCTCGCGGCTGGGCTCCTCAGAGGGGTACAGGCATCCTTCCTGCATCCCTTCTCAGCCGAGCCACAGAAATAGACACGTAAGGTTTCAGAAGCAGAGATGAGTTCCCGAAAGAGGCACCGTCATATATTTTGTATTTTTACTATTTGAAATTCTACTGAACACAGTTTTTTAATTAAAATAGTTCATTTTAATTGGCACACTATCAGAAGGATATAAAAATCCACCCCCAAAGTAGGACCCTTGTTCTCCTTCAGTAGATGGGCTCCAGGGTCCACACTGAGGGCCCCTGCTTCCTGGCAGAGGGCCACATCGAGCGCCACCCTGGGTCGGCTCCAGGGGCACAGTGCACTCTGCGATTCGCGGCCAGTGCTGGAGGCTGCAGGGACTCACCAGAACACTCAAACTACCATCGCTTTCATGCATCTTAATTTCACATTTTGATATCCTGCCCCAACATAAATACTCTGTGAAACAAAGGAAATTGCCCATTTTGCAGTGAACAGCCCCAACCCTTATTGCTATACGGAATTGACACTTTCCCTTGAAACACTTCCTGGCCTTTAAATAAGACACTTCACCCCTTTTGAAGCATCCGTGGTTGGGGAAACCATGTGAACTGGCAGCGAGCACAGCACCAAAGGCGGTACAGCCCAGCTGCAAGGGAGCCCGGACCCCGGGCAGGGCAGCCACGGCCGCAGCGGCAGGTCGGTTCAGGGCAGCACGGGCAGGCCAAGGCTTCCCAGGGCCAGGCCGTAGCCGGAGGGGGCACCGGCCCGGCCCAGAGACCATGGACAGCCTGGCAGAGGCCAGTGCCCTGAGCCAGCCTTCCCGGGCCTCCCCCCGAGGTGGAACGAGGAAGGAAGCAGCACTCACTCTGTCCCGGGCCCCCACTGACAAGGCCATACTGGATCCTTGAGCAGTTTATTGATTTAAAGCTACCACACTGACAGAACTGCTTGTCCCCACACATGGCACCCCGAGTCACTGCAGTCAGTGATGTTTTAATGTGGAGGCAACTGCTGTTAAGACATCTCCCTTCAAAACATTTTCAAAGTACCTTACAGGCCAAAGAACTAAGCAGAATCTCACTCAGACACTCAGGAGTTTTGAGGAAAGCGCAGGAGGAGATGGCTTTGAACACTCTCCACCCAGAGCAGACCCACTGTCCACCTCTCCACCCAGCAGAAGGGCAGAGGCTGCCTGGGGGCCACACAGAAGCATCTACAATGCCCGGCCTTGGGGACTGCTGGGCCAGCTGGGATACTGTGTAAATGGAAAGGTGGGGACAAATACGGAGCTGGTGTCAGACCAGCAGCCCCACCACAGGCAGGTGCAGAATTGTGCGGACAGGTTGAGGGTGCACAGGGATGCCCACACCAGGCCACCCCAGCACCTGGGAGGCCACTGCATGCCCAAGAGCCCAGAGCGTGAGGTCCGGGGTGCCTCGCCAGCAGGGACACCCTGCCCACTAGGGATGCCTGCTTCCTGTCCCCTATCCTGGCCTGCAGCCATCCCCCTGTCCTGGAAGAAGGACATCAAAGGCTGCAGGTGCTTGCAATTCCCTGAATGAAGAGGAAATGTCCTGCCAGGTGTGGCCTCTGTGGGAATGGCTGGTGCACCTGCCTGGGAGCACACGGGCCCCCCACACCTCATCGCTCTTGGGGACTCCAGCACCCGAGCTCACCCTGACCAGTGCCTGGCTGCTACAGATGCAGGCATGGCCTTTGCCTAGCAGGGAACACTGGTAAGTAACAAGGCAGAGGACCCATGGGCAGCCTCTGGACTCAGCCGCCAAGCAGGGCCGAGTCCCGTGAGTCCTGAGGCCCCAGAGGCAGCACTGCTCAGCAAAGGCGGCCCTGGAGAAGACAGCTCTGGCCACACAGACAACAGCCCATGTGTGCACACGGCTTCCTTCCCGCGCATCCTGGGCGCATACAAAACCCAGCCCCACCCTACGCGCTTCTTTGCCAGGGCGTCCACTCCCCAGGCCGTCCTGGGACGAAGGTGATCCCCAGCCCCACCTGTGCCAGGCTCGCCCGGGCCTGGGCCACTGTGGGAGAGGAGATGGGCAGGGCTGGGATGTGGGGGCCGCTTCCTGGTGCCCCGGCCCTGTGGCCCATCTGGTTTTCCCCGGGTCGAGCAGGTTCCAGGCTCCGGCCGGGCCGTTCTGAGAGCAGCCGCAGTGCTTCCCCGTCGCCCTGAAAACAGCCCAAGCCTGGCTCTTGGGTATAAACACTCATCGTCGGGTACATGGGCGCAGTCCTCGGCCCTCCTTGAGCCCACGGAGGCTGACAGAGACCCCAAGGCCAGGGGCCCTGTGCAGGGAGGACAGTGGCCGGGCCGGCGCCCACAGCCTCCTGCTCCCCAGCTGCCTCAGAGGGCCTTGGCACCAGGGGGGTGCACAGCATGGGGGGCTGGTTTCTGGGGGTGGCGGGCGAATGCATAGGCCTGCCCCAGGATGGCCAGGTCCACCAGCACCTGTAGCAGGCCGCACACGGAGAACTGCAGGGGCGCGCCGTTAAGCAGGAAGTACGCCGTCTTAAAGGTGTCGCCACTCATCCACATGAGCACCATCTTGATGCTGCAGAGACACAGGCCAGACAGAGGTCAGGGGTGCAAGCCAGGGGGCCGGGGCACCAAGGGGTCGGTCCACGCAAGCCCTGGCCTGCCCGCCCGTCTTCACCAAGGCCACAGTGTGCACATCCGGGACAGGAAGTCCAGCAGGGAGGGGTCAGCAGTGGGCCCTTCAGGCCACCCTTCCTGGCTGCAGGAGCCTCTGGTGGAACCCTCAGACTCAGTGGGGCCTCAGAAGAGACTGGGAAGGCCAGGCTGCTCGTGCAGCCCCAGGACCTGGGCAGGCCGCTGTCTGGACGGCGCTCTGGCCTGCCTCCGTGCCCTGCACTCCCTCCAGCCATGGGCTTCCAGCCTGACCCAGGAGACCAGAGGCTGCAGGGCAGAGCCCAGAGGAGGCTGCTCTGGATTCTCGCCCAGCCAGGCCCGTCAGCAGGAGACAGCCTGAGGGTGATTCTGCTCTGTGCTCCTGCCAGTCCTCCCTCCAAGCGCGCCCCTGGGCCTTCCAGCAGCAGGTGGGGTGGGCGTGCAAAGACCGAGGGGAGGGCAGGCTCCCCAGCAGACAGGATGCTCAGAGCTGCAAGTGCCTGGCCTGACTAGGCGGCCAGGGCAGGGCCACCTCCACACTCCAGGGAGCCCCCGGCCCTGAGGGCAGCCGCGTGGAGTCTCCTTCACTGGCCCCTCCTCTGCCAGCCCTCCTGGCCCCGACCCCCCAACCCCACCCCTCATCATGGTGTGAGGTCCTTCAGGGCTGCACTTGGAGAAAACCCCGGGACAGGCCAGGAGGGGAGCTCACTGGTAGGAAACGTCAGCGGCGGGCACAGCCCCACCCCGCCTCACAGGCGACCAGCCCCGGACCTGATGGGAGGGTCAGAATGATGTCCTGGAATCCAGCGACACACAACACACCCCCGTGTTCCTCGCCCTCCTGGAGACACCTCAGGACTCTTCCCCCGTATTGGAGTCGCAACTGCCAGGGGCTCCGGGGGCCCAGGCAGCCCGCCTAGAGGCCCAGAGGGCGCAGGCAGACAAGAGCACATGGACAGTCACCCCTTGGGGATCCCACACAGCTGGGCACCCACCTGCACACGCCGACAGAGAAGGAGGGCAGATGCATTGCACCAGAGCCCCCGGCAGCCAGCTGCAGCCCTGGAGGAAGGCCAGCAGCCCACAGAGAGGGCCCCTGCCGGGAATGCAGCAGGAGTGGCTCTGGGCCCAGCTGCTCTGGCTCCACAGCAAAGCTCAGCCGCTAGAGCCCCATCTGGAGCCCCGCACCCCCATGTTTGGTGGCCCCGTCCACACTGTGGCTTCCCTCCATGGAGGCAGGAACTAACGCATGGGGGTGGGGAGGGGGTTGGGAGGCAGAGAGATGGTTCCCTGAGGGTGCACGGTAAGGGTAGGGGCTCGTGTGGGGCAGAAGGTACCGCCTGGCTCTCTGGGCCCCTAGGGACCACGCAGGGACCCCTCCCCACGGACAGCATGGTCATCGCTCTGCCAGGCTCTGCCTGGTGCCTAGAGGCGTGGAGCTGCCCAGACGCCTCACCTGGCCTTGGCCCTTCAGCCGGCCGTGGCTGGGGGACAGGAACCCCACAGCCCTGCAGGACCCCCCAACCAGCCTGGGAAGGGGGCTGGGGGTACAGCAGCCCATCGGTCAGACTGTAATGAAGTTGTTCCTCCCACAGGAATGACTCGAGGAGGGACCTGCTCCCCAGGAGGGAAGGTCCCCGTGCAGGGAACAGGGCGGGGGGATGGGGAGAGGGAGGACAGAGGCAGGGGGTGGGCAGGGGGGCAGGGGGGTAGCAAGCTGGCGCCCACTCGGAGCCAGCTCCTCGTCCACACCACGGGTCATCCGGAACCCGGTGGTGCCCTGCAGACCCCACCCCGCACGACTACCCCTGCTCCCTGCGAGCTCCGAGTTCCCCTCTCCCGGATGCGGCTCCTTTGCCCTCAACAGGAAAGAAGGAAGGAGCCCCAGCGGGGCCACTGTCCAGCATGCCAGGATGTCCTCAAGGTCGCACCCCCAGGAGCACCCCCTCCTAGGACAAGGAAAGGAGCAGCTCAGGGGAGCCCAGACGGTCACCTCCCAGCCCCACTGCCGTGGCCCAGAGCTGGGGCCCTTTTCCTAGGCCCCCCAACTCACCCCCACCTCCAGCTGCTTCTCTGGCACCTGGCTCTCCTTCCCCCCTCTCCCCACTAACAGAATCTGGACTGGATCTCGTTACCTGATTCTCTGCTCCTCCCAAACTGGGAAGCACAGCAATCCCCAGGTCACCACCCCTGCTGGCCCTGCCCCGCAGTCCAGAAAGCCTCTCCCTGGCCAGCACCCAAGAGAGGCGAGCCACTCTCCCACATCCATGCCCACTCCCCCGAAGAGCCACGACTCAGGCACGTAAACCCCACGCATCCCCAAGCCCCACACCACGTCATGCCCAGCCAGGCTGGCCCAGACCTTACCCTCCTTCCCACCTAATTCAAAATCCAAAACAAGCCCAGAGCTGTAAGTCTTTGACCTTGGGTTAAACCCAGTGGTTTCTTGGGTATGACATGAAAGCATAAAAGATGCATGGACACCACTGAGCAAACTGCTCCGCCAGCCTGCCGCTGACCCTGGGCAGCCCTTGCCCATCATAAAAGCTTGGACTTGGGAAGTTGAAGCAATGTGGGACTCAAACCCCAGGTGTCCCATGCATGCCAGATACAAGAGCTGCGTGTGGATGTCCCAGCAAACGGTGACAGTCCAAGTGTAGTGACGACACAGGCACGGGCACCTTCATTCTGCCCCACGCCACCATTGTGGCAGGGCTACCTATGCGCACCCTTCACTCTGTGTGCACACCTTTTCCCCTCTTGTCCCCCCTCATTCTGCTGTCTTCTCTCGTCCCCTTGACGCCCCCATCCTCTCATCCCCCACCCCCCTTCCTCCACTCCCACATGGCAGGCTCGGCAGCCCTGAGGGAGCGGCTCTACAGTGGACGGTGTCGGCTCCGCCAGACGGTCAAGCACTCAAGCTTCTGTGGGCGCATCAGGATGTCAAAGGTCAGTGAGTTTAAGCCCAAGCGCTCCATAACTGGCAGTTTTACAAATATAACTGGAACAAAGCTGCCAGATTTGCACACATCTGGTTTTTGTTGAACGTGTGGGCACAGCAAGCAGGAACAAGCCTACCTCATGCCCTCTGTGGACTGGTGGCGGTGGTTGCGGTAGAGCTGTGGCACGCCGAGCATGGCCTCAGTCAGCACAGCCAGGAAGCCCAGGGTCTCCACAAACAAGGCCGAGTTGATGGACAGGTAGGTGATGTAGCCCGCCACGCCCGCGAAGGCCAGGACACACTGCACATAGTCCGCGAAGCTACTCCAGTGCCAGAAGTGGTGGGGGTCAAAGTCTAGGGCAAGAGAGAGAGGAGGCCGGTGAGGCGTGCAGGTCTAGCTCAGCGTATGGGTCCAGGTCAGCATGTGGAGGGAGACGGGCCGCAAGCAATACCATCTGTGGGAACACGATACAGTTATTACCTCAGCACAGAAGACGCTATGATCCTTACACTGGCCCTAAAACCGTACTGATGGTGGTGTAGGGGTGTGCCGGCACCTGGAATCTCTTCCAGGAGTGTGGCCCCCACTCCTCCTTCTATGACTTCCTGTCCCCATTTTGTTGGCTAAAAGAGGATGAACACCAGTCCCTGCTCCTAGGGCTGCTCCGATGGTTAAATGAGTCAATCTTAGAAATCTTACGAAGCCCATAATAAGGGCCTAATAAAGGTATTTAACTGTCACCACACACCACACACCTGCCTGCACGATTGATGCCCTTCTGAGTCAAAATCCATAAGCACTCACAAAGACACACAAGTTACATGCTGTTTGTGGGACATGCTCAGGAGATCTGCCTCCGTATCGCTGCCCCTTATCAAAACTCCTGACTCTGGGTCTAAAAGGGTCACCAGAGAGTACGGGAGGCCACGCTGATCTATGCTCACACAAAATTGGACTTCATGTAATTTGTGGCAGAAAACAGAGCCTCACAGATCATTTTTAAAGAACTCCTTTAGAAAGCGAGGGCTATGTGTAGACAGACACACCCTGGCCCACTTTCCCCAGCACATGGCACAACAGAAAAGTCAGCCCTCACTTCTTTCAGCAGGGCACAGATGACAGAGACCTGGCCAGAACCCCTGAGCTCAGAAAACTAGAAAACCAAATAATTCGTGTTAAGAACCTAGGAGACGTATGTCTCTTACCATCACTCATTACAATGCCTTTAGTAATAAACATAATCCAACTATTCAGATTTATGAAACTTCAACAATTTAAATTAGAGTCCAAATTAGACCAAGCTCAGGCATCAGTCACAGTTATCGAATTATTCAGCCAGTTCAGCAGCCTGAAGATCTCTTCAGGTAAAGATGGACCCACTCTGTCTGCTCACCACAGCAGCTCACCAGGGCCAACATGCAGGTATGGGGAAGGCGGCTGGTGCTCCCCAAGCTCCAACCCCCCCCATGACCTTCCTGTAAGTGCTCATGCCTGGATTTTTATGGAAACTCAACTCTAACATGAAACAATACCTCTGTCTTCAGCGGAACACCGTCACACTTACAAAGCCACCCAATGTTAGAAGAGTCAGCACTCCAGGAATAGTGGGGAAATGCTGAAACAAAAACTCACGTAATGTGGTCAATTATATGATCAGGAAAAGGTGAAATCAAATAAATATTTTTTGAATCAATAAACCAACAATGGGTTTTCTCAAAAGGTCCTCGTAGTGGAACCATCATCAATAATGAGTCATGAGCAAATTCTTGTACAAGGAATAGTGACCCAGTTCAACACCTGTTTGGTCAACAGCACTTTGCTGCATCAGAGAACTAGGTCCAGGAGCTCACTGCTCCTGAGGACACCGCTGCTCACCTCTGAGAGGGGAAGACAGAGCTCACTTTGAGAACGGGGTGCACAAGGGGAAATATGACTCGGAGGAGGTGGGACCTGACTGGGTCAGCAGGAGAGGGACCGCAAATCGTATCGACACTCTTTCCGGAAGTCTGTTCCTGCCTGACTGCACGCAAGAGAACAGTCTCTTTCAGGAGCTGGGTTTACCATCGCTTCTGAGATCCAGGAAAAGGTGCCAGCACCTTTCCAAGACGATATATCAGGAAAAGAAGCCTTCATATGCATTTTAACAGCACCCATTACATGTCCGGGAGGGAAGACAAAGACTGTGCCGAGGCCAAGAAAAACGAGAACTCCACTGGCGGCTGGCTTGTGTTTCCAAGGTCGTGTCTCATCGACAGCATGATTTGATGCCCTTGGTCTTCAGACGTGGTCATCTGTCTTCACTGTGGCCTCTAAGCCTGAATCAGAATGCCCAGTCCCATCTCGGCCTGCCAACTCATTCAGGCTGCTATTCCATTTGTATCACTGAAAAATCAAGGCATACAGTCTTCCAAAATAAAAAAAAAAAGGCACTGGTGAGCTTAACACACTCTAAATAACCTCGATTTATGTACTTATCATTAAGGAATCCATCTAAGGAGAACTACCAAGAACAGCAGAAGGACGGCAGATGTCCATTTGGGGTGGGGGTTAACAGAGGAGAGAATGGTGGATAGATTTCCTCTGCCACCCAGGGTGCAATTCTAACTCAGAACAAAAGAAGCAAAGATCCATTCATCTCAGTTGCCACTGCTTAAGAAGGGTTAATCATCCCTCCACTCTTGCACATTCCAGGCTGAAGAAGAGACACAAAAACCCATACCAGACTGATAGTCGCACATAAGCAGCTAGGAGAGATTAGAGGAATATACAAGCCAGAAAACTTGAAACTGAGCTACGACTTCTTTCCAGCCAAGATGGAGCAACAGGAACCAGATTTACTGTCTGAAGCAACCAAAAAAAAAAAAAAAAAGGTCAAAATATATGAAGTTTTGGGAAAAAAAATGGCAAAGTGTATGTTTGCGAGACACTGGACATCAGGCAGTGAAGGACAGTGATCTCTGAAGAGATGGAAAACAGGTGAGGTAAGCCTAAAATCGTCCCAGGATGTGCCCTGAGAGAGTCCCCAGGGTGTGGAACAGCAAATGGGAACCCAGGCCAAGCCCAGAAGACACCCTCAGCAAAGGACCTGAGTTTGGGGAACACGGCAGCAAGGGTCTCAAGACAGAGCAGCAGCAGGGGAGCTGCAGAGAGAGAGGACACGAAGGGCCTGCGGAGGGTCCCCAAGTACTCAGCTGAGCACTCACCAGTGAGCACATGTGAGAGAGCCACCCAAAGCACCAGCACCGCCCAGCGCTCCCAAGGCTGGAAGTGCCCTTCTATTGGCAGGACTAGGACACCTCAAAATTCACAAGGAATTGGGTAGAGCCTGCAGAGTAATCTCACCTCAGAAGTGGGGAATAATTAGCCCAGACTCAGAACTGTTCCGGTCCTAACTAATCTTAAAATCAAGACCTAAAAAGCTCAAGCTATTTCCAAGTAAGTACATCCCAGAACAAAAGTCAATAATATTTATAGCAACACAAAAATACCCAGAACCCAACAAGGTAAGATTATTAATGTTTGACATCCAACCAAAAATTACTAGTCATGCAAAGAAACAGGCAAATGTGACCATAATGAGGAGACAAATTAATCAACTGAAAATAACTGAGAATGGATACAAATGTTAGAATTAGCCAACAAGGATATCAAAACAGTTGTTATAACTACAGTCCATATGTCCAAACAGTTAAGTAAAGATATGGAAAATTACATATACTTTTAAAGGCCACCCTTCCCCCCAAAATAAATACCTACAGATGAAAATTACATCTGAGATGAAAAATATACTGGATGGGATTAACATCAGGTTAGACAAAGCAGAAGGAAAGATTTGTGAACCTAAAGACACAGGAAGAGAAAACTATCCAAAAACATGATAGAAAAGAGAATTTTTAAAAGAGCATTCATGAGCTGTGGGCAGCTTCAAAGGACATACTATGAGTGTGACCGGAGCCCCTGAACTATGGAAAGAAAGGACAGAAAAATTATTTAGGGTAAAAAAGGGCCAAAATTTTCCCAAATTTTATGGAAACTACAAATCACAGATCTAAGAAGCACAAAAGATCCCAAACACAAGAAACACGAAGAAAACGACACCAGGGCACATCATAATCAGATCTCCCAAAACAAGCAATAAAGAGAAAATTATAAAGGCAGCAAGAAAAAACACACATCACATGCAGAGGAACAAAGAGTGACAGCAGATTTCTCATCAGAAACAGTGCAAGACAGTGGAGCAACATCTTTAACCTGTCTACCTAGAATGCTATACCTCAAGATATCTTTTAAAATGAAGGCAGAGGATAAAGACTTTTTTTTTACACTTAAAAGTTTAAAGAATTCATTACCAGAGACTCACACTACCAGAAATGTCCAAGGTAGTCCTTAGGAAGAAGGAAATGATACCAGATGGAAATACAGATCCACACGGAGGAATGAAGAACGCTCAGTAAAGAAATGGTAACTAAATGAATAAATACATATGACTGTTTTCTTATCATTTACATCTCTTCAATAAGTAACTAAACAAAAATTAGAACAACGTAGTACTGAATTTTACCATATGTAAAGTTTAACATATGATGACAGTTGCAAAGAGGTATGCAGGAGATAAACAGAAATATGCTATTGCAAGGCCCAAGAGCACACACCAAATGGTACAGTGTCACCTGACAACAGGACTAAGATAAGCTAAGGAAGACACTACAAACTAATGAAAATGTCCATCAATAGGTGAATGGATGAATAAAATGTGGCATATACATACAATGGAATACTATTCAGTCTTTAAAAAGATAATGGTAACATATGTGACAACATGGATGAACCCTGAAAACACTGAGATAAATGAAATAAGCCAGTCATACCAAGTATACTTGTTGCATGATTATGCTTATTTAAGTATGTAAAATAGTCAAATTCATAGAATCAAAGTGTGGAGTGGTGGTTTCCAGGAACTGGGGAGGGGGAAAACAGTAAGTTACTATCAACCAGCATACGCTTTCAGTTAGCAAGATGAATAAGCTCTGGATATCTGCCATACAGCTTTGTACCTACTGTCAACAATAATGTATCATACACTTTAAGGTATGTTAAGAGCATAGATCTCATATTAAGTGTTGTTACCACAATAAAAAAAATAAATTAATAAAACCCTAAAGCAACCACCAAAATAACAAAAAAAGAGTCATAGCTACTAATCAACAGGTGTAAAAATGGAATCACAAAAAGTACTCAATTCATCAAAAAGAAGTCAGGATATGAGGGAAAAGGAAGCAAAGGACAGACAGTACAAATAAAAAACAGCAAGATGATACATTTAACCTAATCTTATCAACAGTCACATTAAATG